ATGACATGTGAGTCGAAAGCAACATAATATGAATTTTATTAATTTTTATACATAAACAGCTACATTAGCAAAATTCTATTCCTACACTAGATAAAAAAGATCAGCAAATGTAATAGGTATAAAAGGTATATTCTTTTTAATAAGGTATCTCTACAAAAAGTACTTATATCTTATAATTGTATTGAACACTTTTTAAAAAAGTAAATGCTACGAACAGTGGATTTTTACTCCATTTGTTCTTTGTCTCATTTGGATATATATATATATATATATATATATATATATATATATATATATATATATATATTATGAATTAATTGATTTAAAATATGTTTTTTCCGCTACACAGTTCTAACCATGTTTCAAAAATGGAAGCTAAAAGCCACGAAATTAATTTTGCAATTAAATTAAAGACATTAGTTCCATTTCATCCTCAAGCGAATTTTGGAGTAACTTTTAAAATTACTGGGTTTTAAAGACACAGCTAAAATCACGTTTCCATGGTTACAGATAAATCTACTTCAATTTAAATATAAAAGTTTAAAAATCGTAATATACATATACTTTGATATGGAAAAATAATTTTACTTACTATAAAGTAATTTCAAATACATTTCCTTCTGTTATAAAGTAATATAGTCTATTAAACTAACAATGAAAATATTTTAAAGTTGTAATTAAAATTGTAGTTAAATAAAATGATTTCTAACCTAAACTTCTTTTACTTAGTACTACACGCACTTAAAAGAATCCAATAAAACACCTATAGTAAAATAAAATTAATATGAAAAGCCAGAAGATGTAAGCTTTTTAATGACCCATGTCCTTTGTACTTATATGAGAAACAATATATTACTAGGTTTATATATATATAAAAATAAAAATTTACTAAATCAGTGAAATTAAGTAACTATTTTTGACGTCATTGTCATAAATTTTACTTAAATAATATAAAAATAAAATAAAATAAAATAAAAAATGTAACCTAATATACATACTTATACTTGATGTAAAAATAATCCTACATACTATAAGGGATTCTAATACATCTAACTGTTCTTAAAAAAATTATAGTATAATAAAAATTAAAAATGAGAATATTTCAAATCGTAGTTAAATAAAAAGTATTCTAATCTGAACACCCGCGAAAATCTTTAAATTTACAAATAGAAAAGAATGCTGTAAGTATTTTTTTTGCCGTTAACAATAAATTAAAAAAAAAAAATCCAGACGACATGCATTCAACGGATGTCAGTTTTCATTGAAAAATACATCCCTTCCCCTTATCAAAATGTAGCTAATAACCGATACAATGATGCAGACATAAGGAAAACACAGACACCCCTTGTCCAGTTGAAGTAGATTTATCTGTAACCATGGAAACGTGATTTTAGCTGTGTCTTTAAAACCCAGTAATTTTAAAAGTTACTCCAAAATTCGCTTGAGGATGAAATGGAACTAATGTCTTTAATTTAATTGCAAAATTAAATTCGTGGCTTTTAGCTTCCATTTTTGAAACATGGTTAGAACTGTGTAGCGGAAAAAACATATTTTAAATCAATTAATTTATAATATTAATGCTATATGTAAATTTACATCGAGCACTATTTTGTAAAAATAAAAATACCTATAAGAACACCGGATTATATATCTTACTATTCTTTCTTTTTATTTTATATACATATATATATATATATATATATATATATATATATATATATATATATATAAACGCATGTCTTATTAAAAAGACATGTCTACAAAAAGTACCTATATCTTAAAGGCACAAACACATATATGTGTGTGTGTGGATTACGGTATAACTATTCGTGCTTTTGTCGTATGTTATTTTACAATACGAGGTTTTATTTAACACTACGCAGTCCAATAAGCTTCCCTTGTCTATAAGAATCCTACTATTTAAATCATTCAAAGAAAAACGTACAAAGAAACTAATGCAAAAATTAAATAAAAAGCTGTGTTTTGGCAAAACAGTCTTGTTTAGTGAGAAGATATTCCGTTATTGACTAAACAGAAAATTATGATTTTAATCTTTAGGTCATTTTAGACGAGGATTAAAGTCAAAATTTAATGACTAGATATAATCAACAAATAAGAATGAATCAATTTAAATACAAGGAAATAAACAAAATAAAAATAATGAGAAAAAAGAAGTTTAAATAAACTATTTGTCCGTAAGCAAAGAAAGGAAGACGCCTAGTTAATTAGCAGGAGATTTTGTCGGTTCACCTCGACACATATTTCCTCACGTCACTCGTCCAGGGTATGACAATAAACTACATACGATAGCAAGGCCTCTGATCGGGAGATTTTGAGGAGCGTGGTAACACCTCTTAATTGCTGTTGTTCCCAGGTCCACTCTTGTCCAGGGTGGTAGCACCTGTTAGGGTCCCAGCTATGGGCAAATATTGAACCCCCAAACTGAGGTCAAAGCATGAAAATAGAAAAATGCATTAGAAAAATTAACAGCAATAAATTTTCACAGTAATAAACAATAAAAATAAAAATTACCAGCAATACATTATGGAGGGGGGGTACATAAATTTTTTGTAAAAAAAAAAAAGTTCAAAGCACACAAAAAATATAATTTTGGCATTAAAAGACCCATAAGGAGTTGATATGCCGTTAAACAAACAAACCGAACCAGACATGACGTTACAAGTCCCGAGTTGTTAGAGCATGGCATGTACTTCAACCGTAGCTGCAATGGCGTGTCTTGGGTATGATAGCCTGACGGGGCCCATTCCTTTTCAGACTGGTTTTGAAATCATATACTTGTTAGATACATTACATACTGCTTTCCTTTCCCTCTTTGTCTTCAGCATGTCCCGTAGGTGTCAAATTCTCTCAACCATCTTTCCTCATTAAATATCCTAGAAATTTTTATCTGCCTCTTTCTGATTCTAAGTATGTCTCCTTTTTACGTTTCTATTGACCTTAAAACTTCTTCGTTACTTACATGCTTAGTTTATCATATTATATTATTATGTATTATATTATTATGTATTATAAGTATCTGTTGGAGAACCACATTACTGTTCCCTCCAGTATCTCCAGAAAATTTTCGGATTCATTTTACGTAGCCGTTTAATACTTTTTATTTTGTATCTAACGAAATCTTCCAGTTTCTTAATACTTTACTTAGCTATTGGAAAGCATTTTTCGCTATTCCAATTCACCTTCGGATATCGGTGTCTCATTTTTAAAACACTTATCAAGTGGATTTATGTCAGGTTTCGCTAGTAGTATCATGTAACCCAGGGGTCGGGCAACATGTTGCTATGTGCCGACTTAGGGTTTTAAAATCATTCAGTGTGCCAAAGCATAAGTATTTTTATACAAGTCAAGGTTAATATACCTGTTTTACAATATATTTTAAATAGTAATATATATCATATATACTTAAGTATATATTACAATTGAAACAGCTAAATATCTTCTTTGCGTTGTAGTAGTTATTGGTTCGGACTTCGTGATGTCATTTGCGGCTGCGTGCCATTGGAAATTGCTTGGCGTGCCACGTGTGCCACGCGTACCGTAGGCTGCCAACCCTTGATTTAATCCATTACGCTATTATATCGCGGGATGGGCATTGTAGATGGAGTCATTGGAAACGAGACGTGCAATGCTAAAATAAGAACTAGACGAAATATCCTTGTAAGGGGAACAATCTACACCCGTGTATTAAATAAAGGATACAGTTCGAAATTCGTTGAGAAGTTACCCAAATCGACATACAACTGATGAAGGTCGGAGGGTACAACAGTCGAAACGTTGCGATAACAACAAAGATAAGAGCAATAGTCCGTATGCAAATACTGTAAATAATGTAAAATCGTTGTAGAATTTCAGACAACGTATGTTACCGACCACTGATGTAACTCTTTCCTACGTTGTCAGATCATGTCGGCAAAACCGGTTCCCCAACCAGGTTTTTCTGCCAGGGAGATTGCTATGCAACTGACGGGATTAAAAAGAAGACATTCAACGTGTGGACAACTGCTTTTGAGTGCAATGACGTAGATTGGGCTCCTTGTCTATGCATTTAGCCAATGCGGCGATAACACGGTGTTACTGGACGGAGGGTTTCCTCGACTGAAGTCACTGGTCAGAGTAGAGGATTACTCTGATGAAATCCTTGGCCGTGTGTCCGTGGCCAAGGTATGTTTTCAAGTTGGAGGACATCGGCTGCAGTTTGGCTTGTAGAGGGATGGCATCCGCCAGGTCTATTTGCCCCAAAAATGCTACGCACGAATGAATACTATGCGGATTTCAATATACTATGGCGGAAACTGGTAAGGTAATCACAGAGCGGGAGTAAATTTGCTGAATATTTAATAAAAGGGGTGGTTGGAATAAGGATGTCTAGTGTGGATTTTACTCAAAAAATAAACAAGTAAATAAAACAAAAAGAATAATCGTCCCGGTCCGTTTATTTGAAACTCAAAGGTAAGGAAATAAAACCCGACTTATTTCAACAAATAAAGAGAATTCTTTCATTTTTTTATGTGCCGTGTCACTTCAGAGCGGGGGCAGGGGAAACTATGACCTCCACAACTTCCTATCCTTTGTAGCTCTAAGTAATGTCTGTCTCCTTACGATACCTCCCAGTCCCTCTCCTGACATCTGTATAGCACAAGCTTTTTAATCAATGTATCTTTCAGTTGTATTATTTTTGCCTTTAAAGCTACCTTTGAGTACCAAATTTTCCTAGCCTTCTTTCCTTGCTATGTGTGCCAGAAATTTCAGCTGTCTCTTTCTGATTCTAGCTACAAGACTCCTTCATGTCCTTATTATAAGAAGAGAGGACAGCTTTTTTCATAATGACATCGAGTAATACAACCAGTTCTTCAATACCGATAAATCCTACGTCATTGGTGGATGTTAATAATTACTAGTCGAGCAGTACAGTACTATTGTCTAATGAATTCGATCCTCACTGGGTGATCTGAATATGTAGTGGGCTTACACTCACATCACGTTAAAACACCAATTCCCGTATGATCACTGAAGTTAAGCAACGTTGAGCCATGTCAGTACTGAGATGAGTGACCGCTTGCGAATAATAGGGGCTGTAAGCTTGGATGTGCGGGTGGTGTAATGGATAAAAGTTCGGAATTGTTAATCAGAGAGCCGTGTTCCAATTCTAGTTGGCTTCGTTATATTCACTTACGCACAAATACATTCAAAGCGGGGGTGGGGGAAACTATGACCTCCACAACTTCCTATCCCTGTAGCTCTAATGTCTGTCTCCTTACGATCCCTCCTAGTCCCTGTCTTGGTAAAGGTATAAATCCACCTGTCCCCACCACCAGCTATAGGTTAATTAATAAAACTTGCATCACTTAACCATTATTATCTCTAAAATAAATTATATAACATAAAAAATATTTTTCTGGTTTTAAATAACATGTAAAGGGTTGATAAGCCATAAAAAACGAATCAATCAATCGAATCAAATATATAGCCTTGTGCCAGACTTAGTAAACCCCGCTATTTCACTCCTGTTTTTAATTGAATTTTTTTTTCGTTTGCAAAAATTGTAAGGTGCTCACATAACCACTTTTCAGAACATATCAAAATCTACTCCTTTAATCTACTCTACATAAATAAGTATCAAAATCTACCCCCCTTTCATTCATGCTTTTCGTTCGCAAATTCTCTCATGCATAAAATCCTTAAGGTATTAAATATTTTGACGGCGTCATCCGAGTGGGATTTTCTTTATTGAAATGTATTCAAGTGTTTTAAGCGTGTAAATTGCAAGCACTTTTAGTTCACCCCTACTAGCAAAAAAAAAAAGAAAAAAAAAAAGAAAAAGAAAATCAAATTGTTCTTACGTCTAGTCGATCGTCGCGGTACAGTGCTTAATCCTCTAAGGTATTTCTCGAAGTAGAGAGCAGGGAGAAATAGGTTCGTGCCTTTCTTAAGGGCAATAATGCAATGTGAGCATAAAGCGTCTTAGAAATTGAACACGGTTTGCTGATTACATTTTCCGGGCTATTAACTACTTGTAAAATATAACCATTCTATGTATGTATGTATCTCTATCTCTCTCTCTCTCTCTCTCTCATATATATATATATATATATATATATATATATATATATATATATGCGTGTGTGTATGTGTGTTTATGTGTGTGTATGTATATATATATATATATATATATATATATATATATAATATATATATAATGTTAATTGTCATAGTTGAATTAGATCAGGAAACAGAAGTATTTAAAAGTGCTCAATACACATATAAAAAGATGAAAAAATAATGATTTAACAAGTAAATATTTTAAGTATAGAAATACTTCAATACTTATCTAACATGAATCATACATACAAAAAACAGATATAGAAGTTAATGATATAAATGCTGAGAATGCATCTTCGCAAACAACTTTAATGAATTACATTAACCCCGAACCTGTAGATGAATGTTATGATCCCTGTTTATAAATTCCAGTTGCATAAGGTATTTTTTTTATTTTTTTACAAGCTTTCATTTGTGAATACAGACATCATCATGTATGGAAATAGATTTGTTTTTTTACTTCCCGGTAATAACAAGACAACGAAAGAATAGATGTAATCCGAAATATGTTCTTAGAAATGTGTTATTGTTAATTGTAAGAAATTTTTTGGGAGCGTGCGGTCGCAACGCTGAGTTTGAATTTTTAAATTTTAAGGTTGTGCGTTTTTGTACTGATATGGTAATAGGAGAATTCTTTTGTACTGGTAGTTTTTTCAGTCAATGTGACATGAACTAAATTGTTCAATAAATAGAGGTTTATTATTATTATTATCCGAAAGTTGCACGTCGGATCAGTTATTTTAATATCAAGTATGTGGTGCAGTTCAATTTACATTACATGAATCATTCACACCAAAAATTCTATATATATATGTATGTATATATATTTTCGAATTTCCAAATACGATATTGTATATCATGGTTGAATTATGAATCAATTGTCCAAAGTTTATTGTACAGAAGAGAACATTTTTTTAGATATCTCGTTTATAATTTTGATTCTAATGTACATCTTATTTGGAAATTGATAAAATATTATAACGAACCCAAAAGATAAACATTGTCGGTAGAATTAAACAAAACCTACTTGGATATTTTCTGTCTGAAATTCTACAACGAGCAGTCATCATTATTTACACTATTTACATGCGCTCTATTGCCTTTATCTTTGTTGTTATCGCAACGTTTCGACTGTTGTACCCTCCGGCCTTCATCAGCTGTATGTCGATTTGGGTAACTTCTCAACGAATTTCGAACTGTATCCTTTATTTAATGCACGGGTATAGATTGTTCCCGTTACAAGGATATCTCATCTAGTTCTTATTTTAGCATTGCATGTCTCGTTTCCAATGACTCCATCTACAATGCCCAGCCCGCGATATAGTAGCGTAATGGATTAAGTCAAGGGTCGGTAACCTACGGCACGTGTGGCACACGTGGCACGCCAAGCAATTTCCAACGGCACGCAGCCGCAAATGACATCACGAAGTCCGAACCAATAACTACTACAACGCAAAAAAGATATTTAGGTGTTTCAACTTTAATATATACTAAAGTATATATACTATATATTACTATTTAAAATATATTCTAAAAAAGGTATATTGACTTTGACTTGTATCAAAATATGTATACTGTTGGCACACTGAATGATTTTAAAACCCTAAGTCGGCACATAGTCAGCAAAAAGGTTGCCGACCCTTGGATTAAAACATTGGTTCGTGGATTTGGTGACGTAAGACGGAGTGTGTAGTCTCACTGGAAACGAGGTAAACAATGACTGAGTGGTGGTAAATATTATCTTTTACGAGTTCAAAGAATAAGGTAAGAAAACCACAGTAAATCTTTATTGTCGACAAATTGAGCCAGTTGTGGTGTGAGAGTGAGGGAGAGAGACAGGGCGAGAGGGAGACAGCGACACAGAGAGAGGGTGTAAGAGAGGGATATGGGGAGGGAGAGAGAGAAGGGTAGAAATGTTTAAGCCCTTAACAGAAGATTTCTCATGTATGGTTAATATTAATTTCTCTTTTTAAGTACTTTTTTCAGCTTATTTTCATAATTTCTTTCTTTGTATCTCTACTTTACTCAGGCCGTCAATCTACGGCAGTGAATAGAAAGCACAGATCGAAAATAAACGATAAAAACGATAAAACGAATAAAAAAGAAGGAAATGACAAAAAATATTAAAACGAAAAAATAAAACTGAAAAATTTATAAATTTGATAATAAATTAAAAATGACAAAAAATGATAAAATGATTAAAAAATATTCCAGGTTCTTTTAATGAAGAATAAAATAATTAGTTTTCTATTGGTCTTTTGCCCTTATTATTCCAAGACTATTAACTGAATTGTTCTTTTAGTAACTTTTGGTTACATTTCGACGATCCATTGTACGTGCTTCTGTCATCGTGAAACAAGGAATTATTATCTCAACAGCTTTTCGTATTACTGATTTCTTTCTTTTGCTAAACTTCATATATCTACAGTAGGCGACAATCTTTGAAAAGAGCGTTAATAATTTAGATTCCTTTTATTTCTCTTAAATCCATTTTTAATTCCATGTTTGATTTCCGAGATTTTACGATTCTTGGAGTTGATCTCAAATGTTCAGTCAACTCTTGATAAATTTGCTTGCAAAATCCTGTTCTTTGAAATGCTACATTAGCTCCTGACGATGGCGGGTAACGGGGTGGCGGGAAATATTAACCATATTATAGGCATTTTATCCATTCCAAAAGCAAATTCCAAGTCAAAATAAATAATGTACTTATTAAGTTTTGGTAGCAGAAGTGTTTGATATCTTTCTCTAGAGAAGTAAAAAATCCTCTCTATACTTCTGCACTCCAGGTACTCAGATGATGATAGGTAAAATTATTAACTTCATATAAATGATTGTATTGGGGTACAGTTTTGTCGGTATATGCATGTAGAAAATACAATTGTCTCTCATAATGTTGGTTTCAATTTCATTAGGAATATTGATTTATTGTCTATAAAAAATACGATTTGGGCACAAGGCCTAAGTGAGGTATGGATTGAGGCTGGTTGTCACTTGTTATCTTATATCTCGTTAATCTGATTCGCGACCTATTCACTCGTCAAAATTTGCACATCGCCCACAAGAACCCATTCATCGTCACTCAATCCTCCATATACCGTAATACTGCATTCTCTCAGGGAACCTACTAAACACACTCCATAACATAAAAAATTTCATGATCATAAAATCCTATAAATGATATACAATGAACGGGGAGGTGATGAACCCCAAAACAAACTAAAATGTCAAAAACAAAATAATATCTGATGTTAGTTGGACCCGTCAAGCCTTCAAAAGATTTAAGAGATATCTCTGTATTCTGAAAATCTCGTTTGGAATGAGTGAAACACATTCCCTCTCCAAATTTATAGACAAACACACAGATGCATGCTGGGATTTTTTCCTAACGAATGAAATAGGTAACTTCTCGGTCTCATCCAACTCAATTCTGTTCCTTTTTATCTTGAAACTAGAAAGCTGTGATCGCTTGTCTGTATCCCCCTTTTGTGTTAACATAATTTTTCATTTGTGAACTTTTTGCCTTATTACTGTTGCTTTGCCTTATTACTGTTGCTTTGCTTTGTAGATACAGTTTGCTTGCTTAATATTATTGTTGCCTTGTTCTTTTCTTTCTCTTGTTATTGTTTATTGGAAACTTTTTCATTTCTGCTTGTTGGGCATTTCAGCCAATTACATTTAACCATGGCCAATTACTCTACAAGTACAACTATTTATATATTATGTTGAACAGGTAAAGCTACCTGTACCCATAGATAACTTTTACATATATGAAAATCAAATGGTTGAGGTGATATTCGTTTTAGATAAAAGCCGGATTTTAATGAAACATTGATGGACACACATTTAACTCTTTCAATGCTGCATTCTTATAACATTATTACCTGGTTGTGCTGGTCCGTTTTTGGGAAAAATAACAAGTTGTCATAAGTGACTATATAAAGAAGCAAACAGCGATTTCTTATGGATGCCGCCATTTT